GTAAAATAAGTTAAAATATAGAGAAAGCAAGGAAAAAGATATGAAGAATTTTTAAAGGAGAAGAAGATAATTGTTGGAAAATGTTTTTAAAAAATATTCACAAATTAAAAAATTCTAAAATTTAAAAAATAAAAAATTGGAAAATAAAGTAAAATAAGAAAAATATATAATCTCCTGATCAGCTCACACGATTATATCCAAAAAAAATTTATATATCTATTACATTTATTCCTTATTTCTAGTAAAAATTATATATTTTTTTTATTTTCTTCGATCAAGAAAAATTTTTCAAATTCAAAACTATTGAATAAAATCGAAGTCATTCTATTCAAATTATTGAATAAAAAACTGATGATTTATTAATAATTTTGTGAGTAAAGATAACTTGCCGAGTTGTAAAAAAATCCATTAGTCTTAATTTTGATAACTGCTTTGAATTAAATGTATTTTAAACTGCATAAAATATTATACATATGTTTAATAAAACGAGTATTGGATTGATTTGAATGAGGTGGACAAAAAAGCTGGAACTGATAAGTTAATATCAAATAATATTCCATTTCCGAGGTAAAGGTGAAAGATATTTTAAACTAAATTTGTTGTGAAAAAGAAGAAACCCATTAAATTAAAAATCAGGAATGATTACTAGTGGGCTTAGAAGTAATGGAGTCCGGATAAAAATAAAGAAACTATCACTTGGTAGATATTTAGAAAAATTTTTTTTTCTTTCTAAGAAACTAAAATGAAGCAGTTATAAAAAAGGTTTTTGATTTTTAATTTCAAGCATTTTAAAATGAAGAGCATAGAATCAGATAAAAATTGAAGTATGTGTAATATTTGAGGGATCTAGAACATAATAAAACAGTTTGAGATATTTGAACATAGAAGAAATCCTTTAGATATATGCGTCGTTCAGTTACAAAAGTGGTCATCTCTGTAAATTTTGGAAATAGATTTTTTTGAGTTTTTTTATGTGCTAAATAAACTTTTCCAACAAATGGCAAATTCAAACAATTCCGTACGGAGAAAGAAATTGTGGTAAATTTACCGTACTTTATGTTAAGGACATTTCTGGTTAAAAAAAACAAGCTAACATATTCTGTCCATATGAGAACAGTTTACTGGAAATTCTGTTGTTTAAAATCATAGTTCTTATTACCACACATTTAGTAAAAAACAAAACAAAATTGAGAATTAAATTTAGCCGTAACAATGCTTTTTATGCCATGCTCTAAGGTATCATGATAAAAGTATCAGATTTTCGAAATTTTACAGCTTTTACCTAATTTTATCACAAACTATAAAACCATATTTTATAAGTAATTTTACCAAAGCCAGTACCAAAGCGCTTCCGTGAAAATTACCGAGCTTTTTGGTGTTTTCATAGAACCAGAAGCACTGTAAGCTTTTCCATATTCTTATAGCTTTGGCCATAGTTTCCCTCCCAGAGAATATTTTACATGCACTTGAACTGCTTTGCTTCAAAACAGGCCAAATCCTGATGATGCTGAGTTGCAAAACGGGCAATCTCTACATTTCTCATGCAAATACCGCTTTTGATCAAATATTTAGTGATTACTTGTTGTTCATAGCGTTATTGTCTCTTTGGTTGTGCATACGAGGTTTCTTATTGAGTTTCTTACAATCAAATCGAAATTTGCTTAGTGATAATATCTTCTAAATAAAGAAAGAAGAAAAGTACACTATGTCAAGAAATAGCCAAAGTCATTACTACATAATTTATCCTGTTAACTTTCGGTCTTCTTTTTGTGTTTTTTTAATCGAAATTTACAGCAGTTATAGCCGGATATTTTTGAAGTATTCATAATAATATTTGTTCATGATCTGTCTTTATTTTAATAGCTTTTTAATTATATAATATTCTGCAGAATATCAAATTAAATCGCCATTAGAGTCCATCTGTTTTTTAGTTTTAAAAACTCTATAGCCTCTGAGTCACATAATTTAATATTATGAATTTTGTGATTATCTAACCAGTTTTAAAGTGAACAAAACAAACGCAAAGCAAAAATAAAAATGTTAGTTTTAGAATGCAAAACAAAAATATTAGTTTTTCGTTTCTTTACAAAAATTAAAAGTGTTCCTACTTTCATTAATATTTAAGCTAGGCTTACGAAATTTCGTGCAATTATTGCATTCGATAGCCAAAATAATTGCTATAATTTACAAATTTATTGCTATATTTTTTGGCATAGGGTGTTCAACAACACTATTTTCCGTTTGTAATTTATTGTATATCTCTCAAACCTCTAAAAGCTTTGAATTTCACTGATAAGTATGAGCAATCGCATGATCTAAGCACTTCCGAAGTCATATAGTGATTCTTCAAGTATTTCCAGATAAATATGAAACAATGTATTAGTATGGAAGTGTTTTTATTGCTTTGTTCTCCCCTGTACCTTTCATTCGCAAAGATTAATATTAAATAACCATATACTTTATAATTAAACAACCATGAATTTTGTATTCTCCCCACTTTTTTCTGCTTATTTATTCTATTATATAGTCAAATAAGAAGTGAGCTTCTTGATAAAACGTTAGTTTTCTTGCTAAGAAGTTATTTCTAGAAGAAAACAACCAAGCGAAAATCACTGTACTATTAAGGAACGAAAATAAAGATATAATTTTATGCTTAATGAAATGAATAAATTAATGCTTAATTTTCAAAACTTTAATGTAATTTGTAATAGTAACTTTGAACTTATTTTGCTGTTTTAAGAAAAATAGAGGAAAATAAGAAAAACAATACTCATTGAACTTTTTTAGCGTCTCCAAAGTTTTGTTAGTCAGTATCTTTATTTCACATGTCTTATAGTTGGATATACATTATTTTCATGTAAGTCACATACATTAAGTATGGATCATTTTATGACAGATTGCAATATTTTTGGAGGATCAGAGGCACACAGTTTTTCAAATAGTTTAAGTTAATAGTATCAGTTAATAATTGTTAAGTTCAATAACATGCACAATATACCATGCACTATATGATACATGGATTGTTTTTAAAAAATAAAAACACTATACAAATGATACACAGAAAAAAGTATTAACTTTAAAAGTATTAATGTATAATAACTTTTTTTATTTAACAAAGAGTTAGCTACGCGTTAGTTAATATTTAATTAGTAACGGATCAGTTCGGAAGACATATTGTGATAAAATAGCAATCTCATTTTTAATGTATTCCTAAAAATAAAATAGCGTGTCAAAATGTTTCATTTTTAATAAGTTATTAGAAAAGATAAAAATGTATATTTCAGAGAATTCGAAGTGTTTTTTTAAATATTATTCTATCTATTTCTAAACTTTTAAGTAAATAATATTATATTTTAATCAATTGTGAAATTTTGAGACAAGGGACACCATTAAAAATTAAATAAATTAAATTCAGGCTATGCACAATCATATTAATTTGCCACCTTTTAACATTTTTATGAATCGGCCACTATCTTGATGTTTGACGCCAAATTTAAAAAAGGTATTTGATAATCTAATAAATTATTTTAGAATACAGTTTTTTCAACTATGTCATAAGAATATAGAAGTGGCTAATAGAAGGAGTTCTTGCCTCCCAATGAGATGACTCAACCTTGAATCCCAGATATGACTGGCTCATGCAAATTTTGCTCCTAGCGCGAACCGACCAGAATGCTGACGTAAAATGCCCGCAGTTGCTGATGGAATCAAGAGTTGAAATCTCTTTGCTGTCCAGCTAACTATAGGATGGTATTGAGGTTTTCCTAATCATGTAACACTAATAATGATTAGTTCCAGCAAATAGTCCTTCACAGAGGCTAGATTGTCCATTATTTGATTCAGTGGTTCTTTTGTCTTCTGGGTTGGATTCAAAATAGCATAGCTATGTGGTAAACATTGATCTGTGTCTATACAACCGACCACAGTGCTTGTGTTAAATATCTTCCGTGGTAGACAGATCATGGATCAGAATCCTCTTGTCATCAGGCTAACCGTGGGAGGTTTTTGAGGTTTTCCTTTCAGTGTAACGCAAATGGGGGTTAGTTCCCTCAAAAAGTCCTCTACGAAAGCTAATTTGTCCCACTGCTTGATCCAAGAGTTCCATTGTCTTCTGGATTGTGTTTAAATTTTCAAAATTGCGAGGCTGAAAAGTTTAACATTGATAGTCGTTAACTCAGAAATTGGGTCGGCTGCTCAACGCCGGTTATATTGATATAAAAATATCGTGAACTCAAAAAATAGGTGGGCTGTTAAAAAATAAAATTAAAAACATATCTTAGGAATACATTTAAAATGTGTTGGTATTGATAAGAAAAAATGATATGTCTCTTCAAGTAGAATTTGAAAATTATAAGAATATTAAGCATGGCAAGTTTTTTTTTAACAAATAATTTTAAATTATCACTTACATGAAAGAGATAGTATTTATTTTGTTAAATTGTTTATTAATTATTTAAAATATTTCGACTTTTTAAAACTTATAAATTTTTTCTAACGATAATTCACTTGAAGGAATTCTAATCAATTTTCTTAAAACAATTATCTTTCAAAAATGGAGAAAGAAAATACTGAATCCCTTAAAGAAACAAAAATGCAATTACTTATAGAAAGCCATTATAAAGGTATTATTTTGCAGAAGCTCTACCTAAGGGTCATAAGCTCCTTGTGGAGCTACAAAATCTCAGAAAGTTTAGTAAATTATTTCTAATAGAATAAATATGAGTTTATTTTGATACAACAAAATTGAAGAATTTTTGAATGAATGAATTTTTTTTAATAATGTGAAAATAAATTATCTTTGAAATTTTGAGTTCCACATCAGCAAAAATAGGTAATTAGAAAATGTATTTCTTTCTCCGTTTATTTACATCAAAAATATTCATTGAAAGGAATAAATTTGTATTATGCTTTCTTCGATAAAATTTTTTCTTGCTGCACCCCTAATATTTAATAAATGAGACAAAGTATTAAATATAATAAAATACAATTTAGAGTCTTACTTTTATACATGTCTCTTCCTGCATCCACTACGAATGCTATACTGATGAATAAAGAGAAAATTTCTTCTGTCGATCTGTAATAAAATGAAACAAATAACTTTAATCATAAACATCATGAATTTTAAGGTACTCAGTAAGGTTTTGGAAAGTTTTTGTAAAATTTTATCTTTGCTTTTTGTTCTTAAATATCTTTTCAAAAAATGTCTTTTAATGACCATAATAGTTCTACGGTGAGGGATAGCCTGGTTTCTTAAGGCGTTGTGCCCGTGTCCAAGAGATCGTGAGTTTGATCCCCACAGTCCAAACATTCACTGCGTAGTAAATGGTGACAGGCGAACGCTAAATCTATCGGGTCATAGAATCCTCCCCTCCATGTTTTCACAACAATTTCTCAATATCTCTGGCACTGAATTGGAGGTTGATAATTCTCAGATTTTAATCAAAATTACGATCTGTGGATGAATAAATAGTTATATGAATGGGTCCGCCTCATAAACTGGTTGTGACGCGTGTGGGGCTGAAATCATATTCTTGGTCATAGATTCTTTAGGTAGATATTCTTATAAATAGATAGGCCGTTGATAGATATGACCATAGATTGTTTTTCAGTGATGCCCACTGAAGAATAAGAAATGCACCGTCTGTCTTAAATTAGCTTGGTTTAACCAAGCTGGTTTGCAGGTTAGCAAGTGACGTTAGAAACAGTAGCAACATGGTTTTATTTAAATAAAGTGTTCTGAAAGAAGAGAAGTTTGTCTTTAATAATTTTTATATTTTCGGTATCTATAAATATCGATATTTAACTAATTTCATTTAATGTTAAAATTTTTTATTCCTCACACACCGCAATTATTGCCTCTGTGGGATGCAAATATAGTTCATTAAAATGTTTCAAAAACGTGTATAACGTGTTCATGTGTAATAGCGTGAAATAGGGAATTATACTTTTCAGTATTTCTAAAAAATACTTTCATTTTGAATTCCAACAAATCAACTAAGGCTACTAAACTATTGATTTTGAATAAAAACATTTTGAAAGCATTTAAATTTTAAACCGTTAAAGGAAATAAAAATCATGCAGTAAACAAGTATGGCAAAAACACAAAAGAATGGATAATGATTTCGTCTGTCCTAAATTTTTATTAAAATTTCTACTAATGTATTTCCTTTCTATACTCGTAAAGGAGCATATTTATAAGGAAATGTAAACAATTGTAGCGAGAAAATTGTATGCAGTTAAAAATGTTTCTTAAATTTCATACACGTAGTTTTTAGAAATTTTCAACTATTTTTAATTTGTAATATTTTAACAGGGAATTATCAAAGAAAAGACCCACACCTTAAAGACAATGCGACAGCAGTATATTCTGTGTTGTTTAAACAGACCGCTAACGATGTTAGTATAATTTTATTTATTAGAGATGTTATTTATAACCTAAAAAAATAAATTTACTTTTGATAAGTTTGTCTTTTTAATGGTTCAAATAGTTTTATTTAAAGGAAAACATTTTGTTAACATTGATTTACTGCTAGAGAAGCTTGAAATAAAAATTCAATAAAAGTTTAATATACTTTATATTAGTAAAAATTTTAAGTATTCTAGCGCTTTTACTTTGTTAGTAAATTTAAAAAAAACCATCTGCATTTTACAATGTTACTCTTTTTGAACTTAAAATTGAAATTCTTTTTAAAAGGCAAAGATATTTATTTCACAGAATGTTTTGAAATAACGTTTTTATTAACATTATTATGCATTTTTGCTTCTGGCAACTAAGTATGTACATTCAAATTTGATTTATTTACTTTCAAGAATATTTATTAGTATGTTCATAAATAATTTAATAACATACTGTATCAAATGAAAATATTTTTCAACTTATTTTTCAAATTTAATTATTGTCACTTCTTATCAAAATTTGAGATCTTTTGAAAAAAACCCCGAAAAAATTCAATAAAATGCTTATTATTGTCAATATCAATATAATGTTATTATTTTGATAGTCAATTTAAATACCCAGAGATACAACTAATTTCTGAAATTAAAAAATACAAAGGAATAAGTTTTAAAAATGCTTGCATTAAAATACTTTTACTACAGATGTCGACGATAGATGGCACTGCTGCAATTCTATCTAAATCGATTTAAAATTATTCTATTGATGGGAACACAAATGAGAAAAGGCATGCATTTAGGTTATTAGGAATGAGAATATTTTTTTTTTCAATAAGAAGATACAAGTTAATATGAATTAGAAATCTTCAAGTAAATTAAAGAAATTTTTTCTCTTAGTTTTATTTTCTCGTTTGGACGGAGATAATCTTTTTCAGACATGCAGGTATTGAAGGAAAAATTAAGAGATAAAAATGTAAACCTGAAAAGTAAAATTTTTAACTCTCTCCATTTGAATATTAAAATTTAGTTTAGAGAATTTTAGGACGCTTTTTGCTCGAAATAAAGTTTCTTAAAAAAAAATTATTTTTAATTTATTTTTGCATGTGTAAAATCTAAAGAAGTTTTAACAAAACAACATTCAAAGTCAATCTAAATTAGTTTTAATAAAACAATATTTTATAAGGCAAACTCTTTTTTTACTAAGAACAGAAGGAAATTTATCAAATTTATTAGATTTTAGATTATATTTTATACTCTTTTATACCTAAAAATCTTTTTTTAAATGCTACATTTATTTAAAATAAAGTTTGTTTTAGATAAACATTTTGGACAAATACGAGTGCCTTTAAATTTTAAAAGGGGTTTTAAAAACTTGCATATTAAAGAGACATGTCTAAAAATTAAATATCTTTAGTAAATTGTAACATTAATAGCGAAGGTACAAGTGATAGACTTAAACTACTATTTATAAAAACAAATTAAATTTATAAAACCTCTTTAACTTTTAAACTACTATAAATTAATTATTTTAAAGCCTGGAATAGTTGTTATAGAAGTATTCTTCTTAAGTAAAATTACTGCGATTTTCCCGAAAATGTTATCCCCATTAATTAATTTAAAATTGCCCAATTGTAAGCAAGAAATCATGTTACTGTGGTTCCATAAATTAAAATGTAACATTTTTGAAACATGTCGCTAATAGCATTAAGTAATTTTCATATATATTTATGTATGTTCTTTAAATCTGAAATGAAAGTTGTAAGTATTCTTTTACATTGATATATACAGTTTCAATACTAAGTAAAAACAATAATAAAAAAATGCAGCTATAAATAAAACATTTTCAAAAGTAAATAACAATGCATAACTATCATATACGTATTAAAACAATATTTTTTGTCGACTATGTTTGGTCTAGACAAAATAGTAATGAACTTACTTTTATTAAGCCATCTTTTTCTATAGAACTCACCTTTATTTCTTTATTTTTTGCTTACAAAAGAACTTACCTATTTCTTTTACGTAATTTTAGTAAACTTATTAAGATCCATTGGTCCACATCCGCCGTAACTGATAAAGACAATTTCTGAAACCTGATATTTCTAAAACTATAAAAAATACTTACCTTTCACCGATATTAGAAAAATAGATATTTCACCTTAAAGTTAAAATGATGAGATAACTTACTTTTAATTGGTACTGAATGTGGTACATCTGCTAAATTTATAATTACAATATTTGAAAAAGAAGTGCAACTAGTGGAATCGTAATAAAATGCAATTCCCTTTAAATATTCTTTAATTAAGTTTCTTATTGCTTTATTTTTTCTTGTTAGTTCAAAAATAGTTTTTTTTTATTTAGCTATTTATTTGCTTATAGTTAGTTTGATTTTTTATTATTCATATTTATTTTATGTTCTTATAAAGTGCTAAAACTCAGTAAGTTCTTTTATTTAAATTTATTTAATAGTTTAAACTATTTCTTCGAAGGATAACAACGTGATATGCCAAATTGATCTTTGACAAATAAAAATGTTTAAACAAATATAATAAACCTTCAATAAAACATATGTAATAAAAAAAGATGATTAAGTGATGGATTTTTTTTGTGGCTAGCGATTCATACGATCTCTGGCTAATCTGGTTGTGGTTAACTGTGATAAATCTGGTTTCTCATCCTAGTATTTTCCTGGCTTCTGTATTAGAAACTGAGATTTGAGCGAAAATAAATTTTGACCATTAATCATAATGACATAGTTTCTTTTAATTTGTGTTAGTGACGAAATTATTAATTAAAAGTTTTTTCCATTTTTTTCTCCACTTCTTTGATGTATATGAAGTGCGGTATTGAAAAACATGGTGAAACACTACATGAAAGAATTAAATATATAAGTGATATAACTTGTTTTTAAATAGCATTTAATCTTAGCATTATAGGAAATATTGAATTTAAGAAATACAGTTTATATTTAAAAGCTTATTTTAAACAAATGTTACTTTCCTGATATTTAAATGATTTTCTAACCTTTTTTAATGTACTATGGACGGCAAAATATAAAAAATAGCTTTGCTTCTGGTTTCAAGTTCAATAAAGTGGAAAGTGTTTAGAAGGCATAAAAAGAATATTAAGAATATATAATTTAAAGCTCTGTCATCAATTGCCATCTTTGCATAAATAAAAAATAAGTTTTCACTTTTGATTTAATTATAATGCATTAAAAATCCCATATCATCTATAGTTCTAAGTTCATCAATAAGGTACTTTAAAGCATTTAATTTTCTTATACTACAGTGAGCCCCTTTTTTACCCCGAAAATATGGTTTAATGATTTGGCAGTTACTTGATTTTAAACTTAAAATCTTAATTTTGGTAACAGATTTTAATTTATTTCGTCTTCTTTTCATATCCAGTTAAGTCCCTTATGTTTACCAGTTTAAGTCCCTTATGTTTTGTCCACAAGTAGAAGTTTAACAAGTAAAATTTAACACTCAAATTATTTTAGACAGGGTATTAAATATATTATAAATAAGTTGAGATTTAGAAAAGAAATTTATTACTCTTTTATAAATTGTTTGTATCTTGAAACAGATAATGTTACTTTTGCGTAAGCGTTAGGAAATTTTTTCTTAGCATCCATGCTTAATTTTATTTTTCGTTAAGACATTCAACATTTTGATTTTA